CGCCTCACTTGCACGCAATCCTTACCACAGTAGAAATGTAATTATTAATCGTGGCAAGTATGAAAAGGACGCAAAAATACATTCGGTCTATCGAAAATTTCGGTATTAAGCCATGAATTTACTGATTGTTCAATATCGATGACACTTATCTTATCTTAACAATCAAAATTGTGACGAAAAACAATGACATAGGTTATTCCCCGGAGAAGATACATACGTTTTATTGATTAAAGCGTACTACGTTTCCTTCACTCTTTCCTGCGCGACGAAAATGTGTTGCCGTGTGACTAGCTCGAGCAAGAATAAATCGTTTATGGTTCTACAATAATAGCACGATGAATTAGCATTGCGTGAGAAATGAAACTACCAAAGGACGGCTACAAGAGCCGGTTCATCTAAACGTGCAACTTTATAACCACGGTAGAAATAGTCAATTACCGTTTAATGCTCACCATAAATTTACCGATCAGTGAAAACTCATTCGTGAACGTAACTAAACGTAAATAAATTATTTTAGAAGACCACGTTGTTCAATATAAAGATGACAAGTCGCTGTGGGTTAATACTACCACGCTTAATCTTTTCATATTCCGACCTAAAGACGGCATCCTACGGTAAGGGCCCAGCCTAATACGCGCAATGAGGCAGAAGGTAGATACCAAACATCAACGAATGAATAGAAATTACCGTTTATTCGAAACAACATTTTAGGCAAAGTATCAAAGTTAGTTCGTCTGGTTCTAACTTAACGCGAGTTGATAAAATTTACGATCAAAGAAAATACATTCGACGAAGAAAATTACATTTTATTAAATAGTGGGGTAAACGAGTTTGAATTGTAGTTCAGTTTCTATTGTCGGAGTGCATACACAAGACATTGGAATTGGGGAGAGATAGACTCTGTAAGTGGCCCAATTCTTTTCGCCGTCCTAGCAACAATCGGTTTCCGGAATATTGGACTTTTGTGTTTTCATGCCACGGAGAAAAATTGCCTACTATGGAGAACTTTTGTGAAATGAACCAATTTAAAGCGGAACCTGAATTCATCCGCCTCATTTGCTTCACAATTCCACGCATTTGTAGATTTGTAGAAATTTCATTAGGGAAAATGGTACACTGTGATCTTAGATGTAAATTGCTAAGTTATCATCGTGTCCGGCCTTAATCATGGATGATAAAGTTCTATTGGTAACGAGCCTCCCGGCCTTCCTTCTTAAATTGCATCGAACGAAGGTTATAAATATGAAATGTCGCCTCTACTCGACACCAAGTTTGTCACGAAAATATTTAGTAAAAAAGAAAGCGGGAAAAAGATGTTTGATTACAAGCCATCATTGAAACACGTTTTGAAATTACGACATTGAAGCGAATACGAATGCTATGGACCAGTGTACATGTAGGTATCTAAAATAAAAGCTCAGACTCCGAAAGAAAGAAATATAACGCGAAGATCTTCTCTTAGAGCTAGAAACGATGGCTCGCCTGGCAATGGAGGTCAACCTTTGTCGCAATCCTTTCAAGAATATTACGTCCATGACAATATGTGAGACATAGAAGTCGCTACTTTCCAAACATGACTGATTTTATTTTGAAAAAGGGATCTCGAACTAAATGGTAAATAAGATTCCTGAATAAACCTTCATTAAAAAACGAAAATCAGTCTTACTTCTTTTGTTAAATCCTCAATAAGAATTAATTGGATATGCCCCAGTAATTCGAGATCTCGGCTTCGATAATACAAGAACGGCATTCTACACAGCCTAGCTGTATTAGCTGGAGAACGAGTCGATACAATTTACTGATAGATTTACCCTACTTTACTGATACCGTATGGCAATTTCAATTTTGATTAAGAAGCTTTACTGTATTTTCTATACTCAATTAGTCACATCGAAGTTATATCGGATTCATTGATTTATCGTTTAATTATAATTAATTTTCGTTGCTAAATTATTGTAATTCATTTTAAATACGTTTAACAAAAGATTACGAACGAATTCTAGGAAAAAGTATTAATAGTAGAAGCATTCCCTTTATTTACTAGGACTTTGTGAAAGTCCACGATACGTGATGAAAAGCACAAGGTCGTCATGTATAGATAATACCAACTTTTAATACACGATGACCACGATAAATGTAACGTTTTCATGAACCTACTGAACATGTAATGCTTTCAACGTGTTGGTAAATTTTCAGCGAGTATCACGTTTTCTTAATCCTGCTGTAGATCGTTCAAACAAAGGGGATAAAATTCGTATTCGTCCTTTTACCAATGATAATTTCGAAACGCAATAACATTAAACGTATAAGACCCCGAGATAAAATCACTGCTTTTTGTCATACCGTTAAACGCAGCTGCCGCTTTATTAATTTGCAAATGAAAAATGTAAAATGCAATACCAAGCTGAGCGTTTACGCTTTGACTGTGAAACGAGAAGTTGATCAAACCAAAGATTTCCATTATTTTAACGTGTAGGAAACATTCAAATCGTTTTCCAAATAGAACCGTTCAACGCTTCCAACAGGGCATAAATTCGACCGCATTGACCACAATAACTGCGCTAACCGCGTCATATCCACTTAATTATTTTGAGGTTGCTAGAAACGTGGCTGGGGACTTATGACGTAGTTATCGCTTTTCAGTTAACATCCGGAAAACGCGAAAATCTACTTGGTTTCCCGGAATATAAGCTTACGGTACGGAAAATGTTCGCTAATTGAACGAGACTAGATTACGATTGAGTTTTATTGAGTTATTCTGAAACGACCACGGCCGGTGTCGTATCGTTTCTGCCTGTACGAATTTATGTACTAACGAAGATGTATTTATACGAGATTAATAAACTGTTCAAACACGTTCACCCTACGTGATGTAACTGTTTAATCAGTTTAAAATAGCATCGTATTTATAAAATAACTGACCACAACGTTACTCGGAAAATTGGAATCTTATTCGGGGTAAAGCTACGCTTTTTGTTTCATAACATTTAATTACGCTTAAGAAAAATAGTTCTAGTCCATATATTTAAAGATGTATTAAATTCCAAAATCATGTAATATTCCTGTATATAAATACGTAAAAGAAATCCTCCATTGAAAATCAGTAATAAACAAGTATTTGACTATTCGGGTGGAAGAGAAACAGGAATTTCGTGTATATTCGACAAGAGCAAGCAAGTTACCATTTCTGTTTATTTTTCTGTATGCAGATTTTCCCCTATGCGTGCCTAGCTACTATCATAAAATCTATATTTGTTTAGTACGTGCATTTCACGACTTATGCCTATTTCTATCCGACTTTTTCCTTATTTACGACTACTGATTTTCCAATCGTAATAAAACGATTGTGGTAACGATTCGTTTTCGACCACAGACGATTTTGCGACTCTTATGCTCATTCTCTTTCTTCTGCGATTGGAATTCTTGAATGAACTTAAACATTCTCTGTTTATAACGAAGTTTTCTGGCAGTAGCCTACGTTCGATGTTAATACACGTATGCACGCCGTACACATGGCACAATCGACTCCATTAGTCTTTGTCAAGACCCGACTGAAACTGTAGCATTTACGCTGCTTTTAGCAGCTGATGCGATGATCGTAAACGCTGTCGTTCCTGTGACCCCCGGTTTATACATGTTACCGCAACTGCGTACACTAGGATTGGAAACTCGGCCGATCGAGTACATATTTGCCGGGGACAAGTCCACGAAAAGAATGATGCTCCGATATCTCACAGAAGGACTCATTAAAGAGAAATTGCAAATCTATGCGATTCTTCTTCAGATTTTACCCCACGCGGAAATCTTTTAATATTTATGGACGGTAAATATGATTGAAATTAATATTTTATCATCAACCACAGCTCAGTGACGTAGACGTAATTATGATCTTCCTTAATTGCGGGAACATTAGCTCCACGATTCTACTCTGAATATTATTCAACTATCTGAACCACAATTACACGCTTCTGTTGTAAAATAATTGAATAACATTTCCGTCTGCCGACGCGTATGAATTCATTTACAATAGGAAATTAATATCGCAACGCAAAGAAGAAAAAAATATCCAACGAATTAAAATGCTAATAAGTGTACAAACTTTACCCCTAAATTATATTTTTATCTTACAACCCTTCGTGGTGGAACTCCCTATCGAACATGTGGCGATCGCCACGCATAAAGGGCGATTTAATAGCCAATCGCCATGATCCGTTTTGTTAACAGGAAAAAAAGTTATGCGCCGCTGTTTGGACGTGCTCGTTCAGCGAAAAAAGAGTCACTACTATGCAAATTTATTTCAGGAAGGTCTCTCTTAACATAACTTTCGCATTCGGGAAATCAACGATGGAAATATAAACGGGGATAAGTAGAGTCATTGATTTTGCCTCTAAAGAACAGGAAGCGACAGCAGTTCAGCTCTGACAAGGCTGAGGAAAAGATGAAAGTGTTTCAGGGGTGACCATAGAATTAAAAATAGTACCGTCGCGTTACCCTGAAAGAGATTATGCGTGACGTCAAAGACGTTGACAAAGCTGTTAACTAATGAGCTGTATCACATGATGCAGTCATGCATCAATCTCTTGCATCATGCATTCCACGCTATCAAAATCTTGTTTACATGTCTCCCTTCTAGAGCGTAACGTTTAGCAAATTGCTGCGGGATTGACAGACGTTCCTTTGCGATGAACAAAGCCTGAACCGAACTGTTACACAAGAGTCGAAAGTTCAATCAGACCGTTTCATTTCGTTCTCTTTAGGACGTTCCTTTTTTGTACCATCGCACCGTACGCTGGTTTAATTGATTCACCCCGACCAAATTGTAAAATGGATAGCAATCAAAAGCCATTTACTCGTAATTAATTGGTGAAATTTGCGGTTCGCTACCGGATGGTAACAGCAATAGCGCGTTTATTAACAATACACGCGTGCTGTGCGCTTTTTAAATGAGGAAAGGGAGGTACACTGTCCACGCTAATTGAAAATTCGTTTTTTGTTCGCAGACAGCAACTTTGTGCTGGGAAATGCGCAGGTTCCGGCACTGTACCCGATCGTATATTGCTCCGATGGATTCTGCGAGCTGACAGGATTCGCGCGAGCGCAAATTATGCAGAAGGGCTGCGCTTGCAAGTTCCTCTATGGCCCGGAAACGAAAGAAGAAGAAAGGGCAATGATTGACAAGAGCCTCGAAAGCAAGACGGAATTAAAAATGGAAGTTGTATTTTATAAAAAAAACGGTGAGTTATTTCTCTTGTTGTAGTAGACAAATAATTAATCCTCATACTACTTACTATAATTCCTTTCCTAAGTTCGAAATTAAGTAATTGCTATTTCATACGTACTTCAAAAGTTCATTTACGCAGGAGATTACGCAATACCTTTAATTAATTCGACTTCATAACTTCAGGTGAAGTTATAATACGAAATTGTGTTTTTATTGCCTGCCAGTACGACCTTTTTCCGTTAATAACAAAACCGAGTAAAGATATTCGATCTCATAAATCCAACCTACGGAAATTTAATACCCGTATCATAACGTGAATTAAATTTATGATTTATATTATGTATGTATGTATAACAGCGGAAACTGCGATTTAACGTTATTACTCATCGGTATTATACGATGTGAACGTATGCATGAAAAGAGTACGTGTGCAACGATGTATATTATTTAATCAAGATAATCGTTCGATCAAGCTCTGTCATATTTGCCCGAGATCTGCTGGCTATGTTACCGGTATAAATTCTTACATTTATTAGTTCCTTTACACGTTCGAAAACTTTTAAACAACATTTCACGAATTCTAGATATATCGTATTTGCGAATGTGTGGTACGCGTTCTTCCACGGTAACGAGTCGGTGTTTGTGTGATCATTGATTGCAGGAAGTCCATTCGATTGCTTGCTCGATATTGTTCCGATCAAAAACGAAAAGGGCGACGTCGTTCTCTTTCTGGCTTCGCATAAGGATATCACCCACACGAAGAATCTTCAGCTCTGTGAGTTGCACGATAGTGGTGAGTTCTAGCCAAGCTTCGCTGCTGAACTCAGTCTGACGAAACGATTTTCTCTGGAATGCATTTCGATCGACCTGACTGATGAATTGCATTCCAAAGTATCCGAGCACGGACCATACATCGGGTATGGATTAAACGTTTCCAATGTACATATAGTTTCTCAACGTATTATTACAACGTTTCGTGCTTTTTACACCGCGATCACGCAATACACGCCGCACGTAGATTACTTGATGCAACATTATTCTCAAAGCGAAACACGGAAGAGCACAAATCAAAAGCCGGTTAACAGCTTCCCAATAGTTGCTTTTCTTGCAGTATTTACGCGTCACGGTATTGCACGTGTTAGTAATTTGTAAAATGGACCTAGAAAGCCACATATGCAATAATATATCACCTTCGACTGAAAGGTATTTCTACAGTATGCGCTATTTATTCGCGATTAAGTAACATGAACAACGAAGAGATGGAGAGAAATAAATCTTTCCAACGCGCGACGTTAACGCTTATGTATTTAATAATTAAGTATGAATACATTTTCCCTGCTCTATTTGACGCACGTAAAGTACTGTCTTAAAATTGTACGAAGGGCGACACGCGACGACGGTACAATTACGTTTCAGATGCAAATGGCGGTCTCGATCCCGAGGCACCGCCAGCTAATTATGGCAGGAGAAGGAGCCGCGCCGTCCTTTATCAATTATCTGGCCATTTCAAACAGGACAATAAGCATAAAATTAAATTAAACAATGTAAGTGATTCGTTTCAATCTCAAATGATATGTCTGTTGTCACTAATATCTCTTAGGTCTGATCAAATCATTTTTTATTTACCAACTACAAACAGCGTAAGTATTTCGTTAATGCGTTCCTGTTGTTTTAGAATCTTCTGCATTCCACTGCACCACCTTTACCAGAATACAAAACGACAGGAATCAAAAAGTCTCAATTCATTCTAAGCCACTACGGCGGATTTAAGTCTTGCTGGGATTGGTTGATACTACTTGCAACATTTTACGTCGCGATCGTTGTCCCATTTAACGCAAGCTTCATTAACATCGACAGGCCTACGATGGTCAGCGACGTTGTTGTCGAAGCACTATTTATAATCGGTGAGTCTATCACCAATTCGACTCGACGTACCCCCATCGTACATGCTTATAAATGACCATCGCGATTCAGGATTCGATACGAATATAGATATTCTCACCTCGCGACCAAGCAAAAATAGTTAATTCTAGAAAACTCGACATATCGATTGGTGTGCCTTTAAAATAAATCTGTCGAAATGGAGCGAGAGAAGAAGTGCTCTTTTTATCCCATTGCTGATTCGAGGAGCTCGTTAAGTCCGAAAGATACGATTCTTCCCTTCTCCGTTACCAACCCGCTTATGTAGTCGTTAGGTTTCGACCCCTATGTCGCTACTCAGAGCCGTTTCATTCTACGCAAATACAACGTAGACTACTTCACTTTCAATCGACTTTTTTACTTTTCAACGCGAAGTCAGTTTGAAGAAAAAGAGGAAACAAAAATCTGTTAGAACGTTAATTGCGATGCTTCTCTGTCTCGATTTTCAACGAGGAACCTGCTCGAATCACTGTTCACAAACGATGTGACATTTCCTTTGCAAACAATGAATTGATTTATCGTACTGAATATCGAGTTCTAAGCGAGAGCCCTTCATAGGTGTTCGATGAAATCGTTTCTCTTTGAGAACAGATACCGTAACTCCATTTGCGAGTACAATTCAAGAACTATTTTATCATCCAACCATCTCCTTATACACTTCTCGATGAATTCGTGTTTGGGTAGTGTGTACACGCAAGCATAACTTTAAACGAAACTGCTCTAGTTTCTCGGTGCGTGAGTAAGCAAATTTTGAGGGGAGAAATCTGGATTGCTAACGAGATTAAAAGCAGTTCATTGCATGAAGCTAGAGATGAAGTTTCTCGACACGAACCATTCCACATCGTGAAACTCGAAGGGACAAGCTGTTGTATGAGTAATGCGTTACTTTGACCAAAACCATGTATACGTGTATCCCGCCACTTTTACTCGCGTTAATTTCTGCTGTACGAAACGTCAAACCCAAATCCTAGTCTCCACTCGCAAAAAGAAAAGGAAACAATTAAACCATGTTTCCGTAGATATCGTTCTAAATTTTAGAACGACATACGTAAACAGGAAAGGTGAAGTCGTGAGCAACAGCAAAAGCATTGCCGTGAATTATCTGAAGGGTTGGTTTATCGTCGACCTTGTCGCTGCTCTACCCTTTGATTTTCTTTATGCTTCCGACGTTTACAGCGGCGAGGTGAGTAATTAACAATTATTATGCCGTGTAATTAAACACAATTTTATTAAAGCGACGTGTGTGCACATAGTGAAATGAATTCTATCAAGCTCGCGTCTTGATTGCGAGCACATATTTTCTTTTATAAATCAAAGAAATTCGCTCAGTACATCGTATAAAGAAAATACTCACACAAGATACTGACATCTAGACAGTATCTGGTAGCGAGTTATGAATAGAGTTCGTTTAGCAAAGGACGATATATCATTGAGTTGAACGACGTGCCGGTTCTTTATTTCGCATTCTCTCCGAATAAATTTCAACGTGAATTGAACGACGTATCTGACGATGAATGATACAATCTGACAGTCTAAGTTCACAGTGTTCAAGCATTCGTAATTACATCAATTGTTATCAAGCCGGTTCATTCGGGCGTAATCGAGGTCTGAAATAGAGGCTTTTATAGCGTTATTTCTCAAAGCAATCAATAGTTTGCGTCGGAATGAATCGCGATTCACGTACAATCGACATCGTACTCTGGTTCGCCAATTAATAAGCATATTCTTATCGTAGGAATCGGGACACGGTAATATTCACTTAGTAAAGTTAACGAGATTACTGAGGCTCGCGCGATTACTTCAAAAGATGGACAGATATTCGCAGTACAGTGCAGTAATATTGACAATGTTGATGCTCTTTTTTATTCTGGTCGCACATTGGTTGGCTTGCATTTGGTTCGTAATCGCAGAGAAAGAGAGATTGAAAAACGACAGCGACTGGGATCTCGGTAAGTTCTTATAAAAACGCATCAGTTCACGAAAATCACTTTTGAAGATGAACGAAGAAAATTTTGTGTCTGCGAGGACGGGAGCTTAAAATCTTCGGGCAATTTACCTTTGCCTGACCTCTTCCCTTTTAAATAATAAAAACGTGCATTCCTGCATCGTGTGCGTACAGCGGACCTACCTATCCCGAATCTGCACGTTTAGATATACAGATTGGTCTCTGGTGGTTCATTTCAGAGAGCTTGTTTTCGGAAAACTCTGAACTCCTGCTGGGAGAAAAGTTAAATCTATATTCGCATTAGTTCGCAAACTTTTAGAGGAAAACGTATCACGTAATTTAACTGTAGTCGTTTTCCACTAACAATAACACAACTATATAATACTACTGCTGTTTAACCCGTAAAAGAGATAGAACGCGCGATGTTCGTAGGCACAATTAAATTAGTTGCTTCTGCAGATCTCTTAATAAATTCTAGAAATTCAATTTGTTGTTCAGCTCCTGAACATGCACTTTAGTGCATTCTTGCTTCGACATGGTTCAAGAGACTCGAGTATATTAAGAATTTTATCGACTTTACATACCTGTAAACGGTATTTATAAACGATGTCACGTTTTATTTAAAAATAAATGATTATTTATTAATATTGTACATAGCCGGATGTTTGATAGAAAATAGACGGCGGACCGTCGGATCAACTAGATTATCTGTTGAATTTTTCAGGGTGGATTCATACGCTGGCGGAAAGGTTAAAGATTTCCGTGGCAAACGTGACACACGCTGAAAGTTACATCACGGCATTGTACTTCACTTGCAGTAGCTTAACGTCGGTAGGATTTGGGAACGTGTCGGCCAATACATTTTCTGAAAAGTTCTTCTCGATTTGCACAATGCTCATTGGCGGTTAGTAATCATCATCGATCAATTAATACGTTGTACATTATCCTCCGAGGATTACCAATTAATTATTATACACGCTTGTTTGATCGCTAAGAATTTGCATGCCCGTGCATTAGGAACAAATCGCGTCCATTAATATGAAATTTTCATGACAATTTACTTGTACAATAGTAAACATTTTTACAATGTATCTACGTGTCGCGTGTGCTACAGCTCTGATGCACGCTGTTGTGTTTGGTAACGTGACTGCAATTATTCAAAGAATTTATTCGAGGAGATCGCTATACCAAACAAAATTGCGGGATCTCAAGGACTTTTTTGTACTGCATCAGATCCCCGATGAGTTGAAGCAACGAATGCAGGACTATTTTCAAACTATGTGGTCGCTAAATCACGGTATTGATATATACGAGGTAAACTATAATAAACGCCTCGATGATTATTCTACCATGTGAAAGCACAACTCCATCATAATAACGTAAGATTAACATAAGAGCTAATGAAACACACAACATGTTAACTGTTGTAGACCCTCAAACAATTTCCGGAAGAACTCCGGGGAGACGTTTCGATGCACTTACATCGCGAGATATTAAATTTACCAATATTCGAAACTGCTTCCCAGGGCTGTCTCAAATTAATTTCTCTCCGCATTAAGAACAATTTTTGTGCACCCGGCGAATATCTTATTCACAAGGGAGATGCTCTCTCGTACATTTACTACATATGCAACGGTTCTATGGAAGTCATACAGAATAATATGGTCGTTGCAATTCTGGGTACGCGGTTCCGACGATTTTTATTTTCGCTCAATTTTCGGAATGACCATTTATGTTACAAAGACTCTTTAACTTCGTTTAAAGGTAAGGGAGACTTGGTAGGCTGTGACATAAACGTTCACCTGCAACACGGTAACAACGGGGGTGGAACAGGTGGCGGGGGAGCTGCCGATGTCGTAGTTAAATCGAGTTGTGACGTTAAAGCGTTAACATATTGTGATTTAAAATGTATGAATATGCACGGGTTGGTCGAGGTACTTAGACTGTATCCCGAGTACCAACACGAGTTTGCGAATGATATAATACATGATCTCACTTATAATATTCGGGAGGGATACGAAGCGGAAGTAAGTTTCGATGATAATGTACAGGCGGTCTTATTGAGCTAAATTATACGATAATTTCTCAATCACTCGCAGCAAGAATCAGACATGAATGGACCATCGTTAACGCTACCTTCGATCAGTGAAGACGATGAAAACGTGCCTGAGGAGGGAGAAACTTCACCTTTATCGCCACCAAATAAATCGCCGTTACATACTTCGAGTCCCCGGCACGCTAAATTCAGGTAAATAGTTTACAAATTTTTATTACATGGATCCTTGTAAAAATCTGTATCTACGTATAACACATATTGTGCACGTGTCGTTCAACAGAGATGAATACCGCGAAGCACGTAGACCCGGAAGAGGAGTTCTAGTAAGGGGAAGAGCGGCTCAAGTAATCGCTCAAGAGTCGATGGAGGAACACATACGAGGATCGGTGGAAAGACTTGACACACAATTTTCTACATTACATCAAGACGTCGCTACACTGAGTTGCGAGGTAAATGTTAAAAAAAAGAGATAAATTAATATGATAGGTTCGTAATTATAATTTCTATCGAATTTTCAATGAAAATAGCTAAGAAATGCCATACAAGCTCTGCACATACTCGCGTGTTCGCCACAAAGTAATCCAAATCTACCAACCCCCGCGAGTCGTGGGAGTGGCGTCCTGGCGAGAAGTTCGTCTCATCCGCCGGATGCTATATGCTGGGATCCTCCCAGAAGAATGTCAGACGCTACTACGCAAACCGACTGGCCCGTGGACTTATTCGAATCTTGGGTTCGAGCAAATCCTCAAAAGGTTCTCAGAATTCTCGAACTCGATCCAGATACTCTTCTGAGGCAGCCACACTCCCCGACACCGTCTCCATCTTCTCCCCCGCCACCACCGTACGAACCCCTATCGCCTGTTGCAGGAACGCCACCCCAATCGCCATCTCCGTCACAAGGTAATCATTCAAATTATTATGTATACTAAATTCGTATTTTGGCCAAAAATAAAAATCGATAAATATGCATCGGCGATAGCGACACGACGTGTATATGCACCTAAAACACAATGAATTAAGGATGTATTAGCTATACAGTCAATCCCAAAAGTTTATGCACTTTAGAAACGCATTTTTTAAAAAGAAATCAAACGCCGGAAGAACATTGGTTTGTATAAATCGACAAACACTCCTTGGGATCCCGATAACAAATCGTCGCACAGATTCAGTGCCGGCGATGCTGACAACGCGTCTTCATATCAAGCATTTAGCAACTTGCTCCCAGAATCCCGGTCATTGAAATTTGATCCCTTCGATAGCTGAACGTATCAAAAAACATATCAGGGTTACGAGCCTTAGAAGCCGAATCCCAAAGATATACATATTACTTGAAGACCGAAACGAATGCGAAAAACGAATTTGATGACTCACATGAAGAGCAACGAGAAACTGAACCACTCATTTCCACGTGTTCATGTTCACGTACCTATTATTATCCCTTTTCCGATCCCCTAAAACTTAGGATCTCTAAATCATTTTCTACGAGCACTAGAAGGAGATATTTTAAATTCACTCGATAGTTAGAAACGAGCGATTAAAATTATTTTCATCCCGAAAATATCCAATAACGATTGGTCGAGTCGATAGAGAAATGATAGAAGACATAAAGTTTTATTACACACTGCGCGAAACATTTCAAAATAAGCTAAAATGAAGATACTAACTAATATCCTTACGCATTCAGAACATTTCACATCCGCGTAGAGATTCGATCTCTTATCATCTAATTCAAATTTTTAGTGTAAAACACGTGTACAATCATAAATTTTAAACTAAAATGTGAATCGCATATGTACGTGAAATTGTTCGTACAACTTTCATAATGTAATTTATTTTAAATAACCGATTAAACGGAATTTTATCTAACGAAATATTTTTTAACCGTCTCTTGTAATGCAAATTTTTGAAATTTCAATAACAATGTAAATATGTACTGAAGACCTATGTATGTATTTCTCTTCGGAAAAATTTTGCTCGCGTCATTCCAAACACGTAAGTGTTACTGTGATTGATTAAACCTAGTTAGTAAAACGATTCAAATTATTTAAAAACGTTTTGTTTCTGTGTTAACTTTGCTGTAAATAAATCAGCAAAACGTATTACTTGAAAATGTTCGTACTATTTTCAAATAAATAAAAGAAAAAGAAAAGAAAAGGAACGTTCAACGTTTAATACCGCGAAGTCTTTTATCAAATAAGAAGACTTTAAAAATACCGGGAAGAAATGAATTTTAAACTTTAGTGTAGCAATAATGTGCACAAAAATTTTCGATGTATTCGTCGACGTCCAAACTAGATAGTATATAGTTATTGTAAAGTAGTCCTAACTCGAACATTTATCACCGCGTTAAAGAATGATGTTGATTTGAAAGTGACTAACACGACACACGATAGAAAGATATTAACTAATTTATTTACTGTAAAATACGAGAGTATTAAACGCGAGCTATATTATCCAGTTGTAAGTATTTCTTGAACGGATTCAATGTAAATAGTATATCGCTATCAAAAATATGTGATAACGGCACGGCTTTGGCCATGCACAATTGTATTCGTTCACCTTTCATCGTCATTTGTGAAACGTAAACCAACAAATTTTTTCCACACACTCATAACGTTGGCCACGAAAGATTCAATTATACAGATTAAAATGGAAATTAAATAGTCGATCCAATTTTGCATTCCTTGAGCGCACAAATAATGATGCAATAATACTAATCATACGATACAATCATAATTTATTAGAAAAATATCCTTACTCACAGAAACCAACGTGTGCAAAACTTGCGGCTCTAACATACATATGTAAATCGTAGAGATATTAGAAGAAAAATAAAATATTCGTGTAACATCACAATTTCACAAATGTCAGTGAAAGCAGCTGTTTTATAAATATTTCATATATTTTGTTATACTGTTTCTATGCTCCTCAACTTATAATTCAAGCTAAACGTATTGTAATACTATCTTCACGTATTCTAATACTTTTTACACTCTCTGAACAATTATCGAAAAGAAAAATTCGTCGTTTCAACATGTACGGACGTGTCAGTAAGCACAAAGTATAATTATATGTTAACGAGCGCTAAAGTGTGCTCGGAGTTGACGAGTTTAAAAAGAAATGTATATACGATAATAATAATCGAATATACATGTTTGTCCAATTTGAGTAGAGTAACAAAGAAAAAAACAAATTGTTATACCTGTCGTGATTCAACTTACACGTACGCGTATATGTATGTATAAATACAGTTGTACGCGTCTACTTTTCTCTACATGAACTTAATTAATAAGTTTGTGGTAATTGTAAGATTTAAATCCAGAAACTTATCAAATTATTGGGAACGTAGCTAAACTTGACTAAATTTTTTATCATACTTTTTCTAACCAAAGTACATAGTTAGGAAACTTTGAATCAACGGCCTTAAAATAAAACTTTATTTTTTTCACTGTTCTTAAATATCGAAGACAACACTCTAAAGAGGCGTGATTTCTAAGTAGGCAACCGATGCTCACGGTGTGTACTCGGGATATCGTATTACAAAACAAACGGCCGCTCCGCCGATTATACATACATATGTATAAAATCCGATCGAAGACGATGACGATATATGTAGCCGAAAGTTCATTTAACTAAAATTGAAGTAAATGTTTCGCATTATTTGTGCATTTATTGTTGAATGGACTTTTCCATAGACGTCGAGTGTCGACTCACGTCATGTATATCAATTGCAGATATAAATATTGTACAAATACACAGAGAGAAAAGAACATATAATTCTAAAGGTACAGAGTATATTTATAATCATATTATCTGAGGATGACCGGATCTTGAAAGTAAGCTAATAGATTAAAAGCTTTCACAACTACGAATGCGTCTATCATACAAATTCTTCGTTAATAATTCAATAAACTTACTTTAATGTGCATATTACGTATACGTTTCGGTAAAACAAGAAACTAAGTAGCGAACACAATTGACAAGATGTATCAAGTGGGATCTTCCAACCGTTTGTAAATATTATTAACTGCTTACTGTACTATGTGCATCGTATAATTGGCATCCTTTGTTCGTTCGTCTCATTATGAAGAAACGAAGCAAATAAAAATGCTCTCTAAAACGCCTGGTTTGATAATGTTCTTCCATTATGTATAATTGTACGATAGAACCAACAGATTAATATTGCTAATTTTCGAAATCTAATTTTACTTAGCTCTATGTGTTGCATTATGTTTAACCGAACATATATTTATCGAACGAAAACATATGGGAATTAAAATCTTACGAAAAAATCTACATCATATTTGTTATACGATTTTTATACGAACAGTATGTTAAAATGAACGTTGATAAGAACGTACGTATTTTTTGTATGGTTTCGATTTTTTTACGAAATGTAACCACTTTACGCCATTTTATCACTCATCAGCTTAACAATGGAAGTACCCCTAATATAAATTATCTTTATTACCGAAATACGTATTTCAATATAAGATCTTTTTGTTAAAAAGATGTCGAATCATCGAAGGAAATACAAGAAGTATCATGTGCTTTGAAAAACAGAACGATTAAGAGAAGATTTTTATAGAGATAATCGATATTCGCATAAATTCTGATCGAAAGTTGTACGCACTAGCTTTATGTGGTATATATACTTTCATCTGCGACAGTATATCATTGTTCATTGTTCTCTAAAATGATGCCTCTTTAGGCACAGATATATTGTGTAAATAAAGTAAAAACACTGATTTTAAACAAACAAACCGTTGATGCAGTAAAGTATCAAAGAACATGTTTGGAACCCAGCGGTGTTCTCCATATATTCCAATTTTTGATCGATACATCACTAATTCCTTCTCTTAAATCGTTCTGTTATCATGTTCCGTATGTAGAATAATCGTACTTTACTTACTTGTTCGTGAAAAGATCCTTTTTATACAAATTTCGGTTGATTTTCTCGCAGCAGCTTAGCACACGTTCTTTCAACCGCGCACACACACACACACACACTAACCATACAAAATACAAAACACAGATATCGCAACTGTAATAGAGAGTCCTTTCGTCGGCAATGAACTACTACGTAGTGTTTAGGATGGCCTATCGTATCAATCAACAAAATTCGTAGATTATTTAATGGAAACAATTAATAAAAATTTAATAAAAGGTACGAATAATAAAGTAATATATTGATTCACACCTTTAATTTAAAATTCATTATTTGAGTTTGTTCTTAATTACTTACATGTGTTTACATTGTCTGTATTCTGCATATATTTTAAAAAGTTCCTTGTCGTCAAATCATTCTAGTAAAAGTGGTATTTTTATTTTCTTCTCTTATTACTTCAAGTATTTTGTTTCTTTCAGATTTGTTTCTTTTCATGTTCATGACATATGTCCATGCCTTTTTGTGTGATTTTAAATGACGCACGTAGTGACCATGTGATCACCCTAACTTCAGTTATTAATTTTTTATGAACGGTGCGCGTAATGAATTTGTAAGAATTTGTGTAGGAGTTGTAAAAAATTCTAGAAGACGGGAATGAGTGTGCAGGGTGTACAAACAGTAAAGAAAAGTTTATGGTAAGTTTTTTAATATATATTAAATGCATTAAACAAGTGACAAGAAGTACTTTATT